ATGTGAAAACAAATTGGTACGTTAAAATACGACACGACTCATTAATACGATACGAATATAATACGAAATTAGAAGATTTTAATATTCTCTAAGCCATTCATTTCGTAAATGTGTCGACCTGATCTGATACGATTAATTAACAGATTGAATATGAGTGTAACAAATCAAAAAAAATACACGATACGATTTGTATATATATCAGTTATACATGATTCATACACAATACAGACTCAATTAGATATAACTCGTTAAAACGAATTCACTTCACTTGATACAATTGATAAACTTACCTTATTGCAGACCAAATTTCACTCATGGTGTGTTTGATAGGAGAAAATATTCAGTGATCACGGGCCACCACGAGAGGGAACCAAGGGGGTATCTATAAGCAATGAAAAATTGTTGATTTCGATTGGTCTTTTCATATTGAAGTATATCAATTTCTCAAGATTGTTATTTTCTAGTCTTCTACAATTTGTTATTAGAAAAAAAAAAGATGGGGTTGTAATTTTTAATTTTTTTTTGAATCTAGTGTTGTATATATTATTTGACAACAAAATAATTTCTTATTTGAGTTTATTACGTTTTGAATCAAGTAGAATTTAAATTAGGAGAGACCAACCTGCGGTGAATTTTGACAAAGAAAAAGGAGTTATATTGTTATTCACGATTTATTGATCATAGATACATGACACGAACTTAAAAAAATAATATGATACCTAACTATGACACAATACGACTCGATTTAAATTATTAAAAATTACGAGGTAGCCACAATATAATGGTCATCTCTATCAATTTTTAAACAATAAGAATCCATTTTCATATGTGCCAACCTAGTAAAACCAATATGATGGTCACCTCTATCAATAGTTTTGTTTTTGTTTTTTTTTATACAGCGCTATCAATGTGGAAAAAGAAAATTTTCATCTATTTCTTTCTTACCATATTGTTGGATCTCATAGAATACTGTCGATTATAGTCCACTCATTTCATTTAAGATGTAAAATTGGAATTCTTTTCGTTTTATTTCTTCAATCACTAATAAGAACTCAAAAATTCAGTTTCATTCAAATTAATTAATCATTTTGACTAACTGGTTATATATACATATGATGAGTAAAAAAACAACAGGAACTATAATGAACAGTGCAGTAAAACTAAAAAAAAAAAAAAGAATTGTGTCGTTTGACCAAAGGTACTAATAGTGAAAGTTCAATGAAAGACTAAGTAGTCACGGGTTTAAGTTACAAAGATAATAGACGGTATATTGTATGTCTATGTTGTCGTACACTGTCATGAGATTCCTATCATGTAAATATTTTTTTTTTATTTTTTAGTGGTTTGGTTACTTTTTTAATATTGAGCCAAAAATAGTTGGATTGTGCAATAAAATTTAGGATAGATTGACTATAATTGCTGAGTTATTTTACGAATTAGCGACAATATTATTAATAATGTCATATATTTTGAGTTGACATGTAATTGTATTCAAGTGATTCTACAAATGAAATTAAGATGATATTGATAATTATTTTATTAATTTACCAAGTTTTTTTTTTCATGTAGTTGGATAAAAATTGATTAATTATCACAATTTGATTGGAAATTAATGATAATCTATTGCATCATGTTAAAGATAATTTTGATGTATTTGACACAATTAAAAATTTAAAATTACCGAAAACTTATTGAATAATTTCATTGAATGCTACCATTCGACTCCTCTTAGTATAAAGGGTAATGTTATGCTTATCAATTTTTTTTATCAAATTTCAATTCCAAATAATGTGGCATAAATTCTTACTATGAGATAAAATCTTAACTTCGACCTAGTTGTTCTAATTCTATCCGTATCATCTTCAATGCCAACCATCATGTGAATTTTAGGGTTTTTACAGTAACAGAAGCACTATTTAAATTCTACATGACATACTCTAACTTTATATGAATAATATTATTTGGATTTAATTTATTAATATAATTTGTGAACTTAATTTATCATAATTATTGAATTAACTATAAATCTCAACAAATATTAAAATTTATTATCAATTCAATAATTATGAATAATTAAATAAATATATTGAGTTACAAGGTTAATGAATTGGATATATATTAGCCCAGTAATGCTACACTGATCAAATTTTACAACCAAATTTAAAGTTCAAATAACATAACATCTGACTTAGATTTCTCTATTTGATGTCATATCATTTAGGTCTCAAATTTTTTTTTAAATAATATGCTGTCATATCATTTGACATCTAAATTTAATCTCAAATTTTAATCATCATAACATTATTGATAGTAGTCATGTGCACCGTTTCATGTGAAGTACTTGCATGGGAAATTATGAGAAAAGGTGACAGGTGTGCCACCACTTGTAAGTAGCTGAAGCTAAAATAGCCAAAAGCATGACACGTCTCTTATGTCTGCAGCCTAACCCTTCCACGCAGGCCACACCTCTTCACCTATTTTTCATCATCACAACGGAAGGAGAGAGAGAGAGAGAGTTGGTGAAGGTTTTTAGCAGTTATCTGTTTGTGCTTTGGAGGACTGTTGCACTGCTTTTCTGGGGTTGAAGGAAGGAAGGATTAAGGAAGAAGGATGGCCACGGTGGGAAGAAACCTTGCAGCTCCATTGCTGTTTCTTAACTTTGTAATGTACTTAATCGTTTTGGGTTTTGCTAGTTGGTGTGTTGACAGGTACATCGATGGCCAAACTCATCATCCAAGTAAGAAAATCTCTCTCTCTCTCTCTCTAACAAGTCGTTTTGTTATCGAGACTTTACAAATGTTGGTACGAAAAGGAAAGGTAAATGTTATTGCACAAACCTGTGGGCTCATTCACCTGTGTGAAGTGAAACGGTTGTGCTTTTCTTAGCTTGGTAGGTAATATTTTATTATGCTTCTAAAATGCATACTATTAGCTAGATAGGTGAAGGAACCACAACACTTGTCAAGAGCTGTTATACCATGCAACACCTTGCACGAATGTTGAAATCCACTCTCCTGACATGAAGATCCATCACCGACTTCTCAACAAATAACCCAAAAAGAAACAATAATGTTATTTTAACCTAATTTACAGATATAATTAATTGGTTTAATCTATCTCAATTATTGAAATGATTGTGGGTGGTATAGAGAGTTAAGTATAAAAAATTGTTGTTTTCTTAAAGTTATCACCCCAATGCCACAACCACCATCATCTCACCACCATCCTACCGCCATCACCACCACCTACCCTATCCCACTGCCATTGCCACCACCACCACGACCCCACAATTTTTGCCACCATACCCTAACAACCACCAAAGCCATCATCACCCCCAACAACAGCACCACCTTACCACTTACTCCACAGCCCACCGAGGCGAGGATGTTGCGGGCAGTGGTGTTTCAAGGGGAAGAAGAAGAGAGGGGGGGGGGGGGGGTGTGGTGGGGGGGGGGGGAGGGGGGGGGGGGGGGGGGGGGGGGTTGTTGGTGGCAGGGTAGTGGTGGTTGGGGAGCGGTGGTTGGTGGAAACGATGATAAGGGGGAGATGATAGTGTCTAAAATGGTGGTGGAAAGGGATGGATAGTGGAGGTGGCGATGGTGATGAAATGGTTGTGGGGGTTGAGGGCATGATGGTGGCAGCGATTATGATGGTTGGTGTGGGGTGATGGCGGCAGTGGTGGTGAGTGGGGATGTCACATGAATTCGGATTAAAACACAAGAGAGTAAATTGGTCTATTATAAAGGGTAGCATGCAGCGGTAGATATTTAGAAATACTTAAAATTTTAAATGAGGTGAATTTGGGTACTAAACACTTTTGATTATAAAAGAATAATGTTATTTGGACCTACTTGATTCATTGTCGGTCAAACAATCATAATGAATTATATTAGCAAATAATCTTTTACGAGACGACGACTTAAACACGTATTTACCTTTTGGTGGTAAAAAATGAGCAGGTTTTGGACCAAATGGAGCAACTCCATTCTTCCTTACTTTTGCTATATTGGCTGCTGTCCTGGGGATAGTAGCAAAATTTGCCGGAGGCAGCCATATAAGATTCTGGAGGAGTGATAGTCTAGCAGCTGCCGGATCATCTTCAATGGTAGCATGGGCCGTGACCGCGCTCGCCTTGGGGTAAAACATTCCATTTCCATCTTACAACTTATGTACTGTTTTACGGAATTGGTATTTTGATCTCGTTTCATTGTCTTCACCCATCTCTATATTTTAAAAAATTTAGAGTTATACGTAGGGTTGGGAAGTTGGATGAATGACGGGGGTGAGGCTTATGAAAAGGTAACAGATGGGGTGGTAAGTGTCCAATGAGTGGTTAGAATAAATTGTAGAAGATTTGATTGTAGTTTGGAGAAATAGGGAGGGAGGTCTCAGCCTCTCCCTACTAATTTGTGGGCTATAATAATATTATTACTATATAAATGTTACGTTTAATCAGGGTGAAAAGCCAGGAATTTGCTTGGGTGTGTACATTTGAAGTACAAGTTTTAATTTGTCCCATAATATATAAAAATAATATAATACATTTGTGTTTTTAATATCATAGTTATACTTAAAGATTCAAATAAAAAAAATTAATTATAACTTTTTACAAAAAAATAATAAGGCTAATTATAACATTTGATGGGTCAGTTTTTTTTATACAGATTCCAAGGGATTTGTCAAGAGGGCAGTGAGCCTATATTTTTTTTTTTTGTCAATCGAATAAATAATTTAAGCTGAAGATTGGACCCAATTGAAGATGATCTAAAAAAAATTATGAAACATATGTAGGTATTTTTTTATTCAGGGGTGTGCTACGCCTCCTTGTCTTTTTTGGTGTTCAAAATTACATCGATTACTCTCTCGAACTCGGTGACTGATTATCGTAACTTAAATTAGGTTAGAACATGCCCATAAAAAGATAAATGACTCACTGTCCTTTGCTGCCTCCACCACTGCGTTTAATTTATACATTTTATTAAAGTTTATATTCACGTACCATGATGTGAAATATATAGTTAATTTCAATTTTGGCTGGTGCAGTTTTGCATGCAAAGAGATAAGCTTGGGGCACAGAGGGTGGAGGTTAAGGGTGCTGGAGGCATTCATAATAATTTTAGCATTCACCGAGTTGATCTATCTTCTGTTGCTTCATGCTGGGATGCTTAGTAGCAGGTATGGTCCAGGTTACCGCGACACTGGTTATGGCGCTGGAGTGCCCTCCGACGATCCAGAACACAAGGGTGGTGCTACGACAGCAACGAGGGTGGTGTGACTGACGACGAAGGTTTGAACCAGCAGCAAATAATAATAGTATATGGATAAAACTGTTGTGCAATTTTCCACTCTATATTTGGATTTCGGAGTTCGCTAGGCTCTGTTTGAACTGTCGCACGTTCTTTTTTTTTATTTTTTTGCCCTATTTTGTTTTTGTCTCATGGTTTTGTAAATAATCCTAATGCTGGCAAATGTTTTTATTGCGTCTTATGTTTTTAGTTATTGGTTTATTTGTGTATTAATTGATGAGTCCAAAACCGACTGATCCAAGTGTAATAAATCAATTAAGCCTAAGTCACCTAAAAGACAAACTTACTTTATCAATCCGATTAAATCAAAAATTCAAGGAGTCCAGGGAGATAAGAGCATGTGAAAGAGAGATTATCGGGATATGTAATTATGAAAATTAATCCTACTTTAATTATATTTACCAAATCAAAAGAAGTAGTGTTCTCTCGCTCATATCACCGTCTCACCAAATTTATATATTGTAAGTTCTCTCCACATAGAAAGACACATCTCTCCCAACACACATTACTACACCTTGAGCTTTGCCTCTTTATGTCTCCATACACACTTTATTTTCTCTCTCGTAACTAGTGTAATTCTCTCGAAGCATATTTTTTTGATTATTTTATTCATTAATAAAGAACTCCGGTCACAGTTTTCTGAGAGTAAAGTAGGTCACGCAGACTGAATCACTATATATTTGTGTGTTTGTTTATATTTATTGTTTTATTATTAATTATTTTATTTATTATCTATTAATTGCACATCTTCGTATATTCGACCGTTAGTTTTACACGAAACCAATTTATACATCATTACGTATAACACTTGAGATGGTGGATTTCTAAGTTGGTAAGCGGGCATGGCAGCCTTTTTATGGCACCTCTATACGAGTGGAAAGTGAGTATGACGGTTATATTATATTAGAATTGTAATGTGGTGCGGTCATAGCATAAATAAGGGCATATTTGTTTTGAGTATTGTTATGCATGGTATTAAGAAATATACTCTTCAAATATCTAATACTAATGAAAATTAGTACAGATAATAAATAATTCTAATTCTCTCTAATGTTTATTTGTTCAATAGATACTATAATGGGTCTCACAAATAACCATCTATTCTATCACAACTTTTATAACAAATATATCATTTTACCTTTAACATCATCAATTCTATTATTCTGTTTATGTAACGCTTTTGCATAATATTTGGTATAATACATGGTATGACAATTTACAATCAAAAAATTCTGGATAATGTAAAAAATTCATATAAAAAATAAAAAATTTGATTGAATCGGTGATATTGTAAAAACAATAAATAAATAAATAAATAATTGGTGACACTGTACGCTTAAACATAAGGAAAAAATTCAAAATAATTTTGAAAAAAAATTTAAAAAAAACTGGTGACACTATACACTTAAACATAATAGAAGAAAAAAATTTAAAATATTTTTTTTTAAATTAAAAAAAAACTGATGACATCGTACACTTAAACATAATATAAGAAAAAAATTCAAAATAAATTTTTTATACGTGAACTCCATACAAGGAGGATATTTGTGTCATGTTCCTTGCTTGTACTGTTGGTAGATTTATAATAGCAAATAATATCACTTGGTAGGTGGTATTTATTAAAGTTATGTACAAGGATTAAAGATTATTGTACAAATCGAGTCGATATTGCAACCCGAAAAATAATACTGTGCATAAAATACCAAACAAATAAGGTAATAAGTGGGCCCTATGTACTATTTTTTACCATCCTACTATCCCACCCTATAGTACCAGTAAAACTCCCAAACAAACATACTCTAAATTGACAAAGTGAATCTCACTATTTTAAAAAAATCACCCTCTTCATCACATATTCAAAAAGTAGGATTTGTTTGTTCATGGGACGGCTACACTAGATGATAATACTCTCTTGATCGAACTTTAACTGATTTTGATGATAAATGGATAGATCTGTGAAATTATTTATTTGATAAATGAGTCATTAAAAGATAGGAACAAAGCATGGCTTAATCGAGAGGTCAGCTTCTCAAAACGGATCGTAGATTTCTCTCTCTCCTATTGGGAATAGTTTCTCACAGCACAAGAGGGAGCAGGGGTCATCCACACTAACGTTGCTGAAGCCCACTGTTGGACATCCGCTGTTCCACGTACATTTAAGATTGAGCGACAATTATATTCAGATATCTTAAAATTTGTATGCATGTAATACTTAAATTCTTATGTAAATATATTTGTTAATAAATTATACTTAAACCTCCCTGAAATTTATAGCTACATAATACTTTGATCTCTTAAGTTTAAAATATTATACTTAAAAAAAAATAATTAAATCAAAGATAAAATATCAAATATTTTAAATTTTACAATCAAAATTTACGTTCTATTGTAGCATTTATTGAAATAAAATTAAAATAAATTTTAATTTTTTCTTAAAAAATCACAATTAATATATAATTATACTATCGATTGAAATAAAACTAAAAAATCATACTAGGGGTTTAGGTTATTCATAATAGAACATGGATTTTACATTTAAAATTCATGTTCTACTATGTCATTTATTGAAATAAAATCAAAAATAAAAATCGAGTTTATAAAAAAAAATCATAATTAGTATATAATTATACTATCAATTAGAATAAAAATAAAAAATTAAACAACGGGTCAAATTGTAATTGACACAATATCTTTTTGTTTTAATTAGGGTAGTTTAGTATTTTAATTTGGTCATTTAAATGACCAAATTAAATTCCAATAGACAATATAACTGTATACTGATTTCAATTTTTTAAGAAAAAAATTGAATTTTTATTTTTGATTTTATTTTAATAATTAATACAATAGAATTTAATTGTAAAATTTAAAATATTTGATATTTGATATTTGATTGAAGTATTTTTAATCTATGTGTAACATTTTAAATTTAAGGAGTTTATGCTTACAAATTTCAGGGAGGTTGTGTATAATTTATTAACCAATATATATACAGGGGCTTAAGTGTTTTACGCTTACATATTTTAGGGGGTTTGTGTGTAATATTTCAAATGTTAAGGAGTTTAATACTCTGTTTGATAGGGAGTATGAAAAGTAGGAATGATGGAAAGTAGGGGGATACACTTTCGATCCTTCAAGGATGAAAAGTAAAAATGATACACTTTCCTTCTTTTGTCTTTGGTTGCACGGATGGAAAATAAAAATGACAATTTTTTTTTGTGCTAACTAAGATTAGAGGTGACAATCGAGTCATGCGGTGTCAGATTCGTGTTAAATAATTATGAGTTTATGTCAAATATTAGTCAAACTTAACTTAATTCATTTAACTAATTATATCGTGTCGAGTTACGAGTTGACCTGTTTATTTTCATATCGAGTTTGAGTCGTGTTATTGTGTTAAGTCAAAATTTTTCACCTTTAGTTAAGATGAAAAAAATAATTTTTTTAATATACATATATATTACCATTATATTTTTATATCAAATTAATATATACATAATATATGTATATATAAAAAAAAGATATATAGACAAATAAGATAAATCTCAACACAAATAATTAACTTCCCGTCCACTTTCCTTCTGATTTTGGAGGGATTAATTTTAGTGAGTTGGAAAGAAAATTAATTCATCCATTTTTCTATGCTTCCTATTTTCCTTCTTTACTAAACACGATATTTTATTTATTTATCCAACTTTCTATTCTTTAAACTTTTTATTCTCTCACTTTTTCATCGTACCAAACAGAATATAAATGATTAAGTGATAAATTTTAGAATATTTGAGCATAATTCTTCCTAAAATTAATGTTGATGGAACAATTTTTAAATCGATTTATGTGACAGGTATAGACCACGTTATTCGTGATTAGAATGAACGGTTTGTGGCGGGACTTAGTAGACGTATTTTTGGTATTGCTAGTACTTTGCATATTGAAGAATGGGCAGCATTCATTGGTGTGACTCTTGCGGTTGAGTTGGGTTGTCATAGTATATGTTTGGAGGGTGACTAGAGTGCTACGAAGTACGGATATGAATATAAAATATCAATACGATATAATACGGATATGATGATACGATAAAATTTTAAAAAGTAAGATATAGGTACGGTTAAAATACAGCGATAATAAAATATATTTAATATTTTTATTATTTTCAACCAACTTAATACTTATATATTTTGATAAATCTTTAATATACAATAAGAAAAATTAGTAATTTTTTTAATTTGAAAAAAATATATATCGTATCGCTGTAGTATATTTACAAAATAAATTGACTAATTAAAAGAATCAAAATTAATATTTACTTAGTATTTATAAGTAATTTTTGCTAAGATAACAATACAATAATTTTATTTTATGCTCTTTTGATATGTAATTATAAATAATACTTAACAAACACTCATATACCTTTGAAGTAATATGAATTTTTTGTTAATGTATTGTATGATATGGGAATTCGAAAAGAGATATTAAAAGTTAAACTCAAACATTATATATGTTGCTTGACCATAAAAGTATCCGTAAAGTATTCTAATATTTAATTATTATCGAATACATAGAATGTGTATCTGATATGTATCTTCGAGTATCCGATGAATATTATATTCGATACAGTATCGAATACGAGTACGTCAACCTCAACAAAATATCCGTGCTTCATAGCTCTGATGTAATACTCTGAATCCAAAAACAGGATAACAAGTAAATATCTCTGAAAAATGTGCATTATTCAATTAATTGAATAGAATTGTAATACATACGACAATTTATAAAAAAAAATTAAAATCTTAAGTTTTTCAAAATAGAAATAAATCTCTAACTTTAGAAAAGTTACCTAAAACAATAAAACACATATTTAATGAATTAAAAAAATAGACAAATTTTAGGAAACTAAATATCCTAGAATATTGATAATTGAATCCTAATTCTAATAACGCAATAAAATAAAATAAAATATAAAAATTATGGA